TGCAACTGAGGTAGCCATCCTACACGCTGTTGTAGGTAGGCATACAGGAGAAACACGAGTGACATTTGTTGTTCAAAATCGAGAGTAATCCTTTAAAAAAACTGTCCATTTCGAAAATAACTCTTTAAATTTCATTAGTCAGGGACAAAAAGCTAGCTAGGTCCAGTTATTTTGAACCATGATAGAGCTACTTCCTGCTGCCTTCAGTTAGGCGATACAATTTCCTTCAGCGAGACGTCCACACATAGTTGGAAACAGGAATTCCATTATAACCCACATTAAACAAGTGTAGATTTGAAGATCACTATCATTGAAGACATAACCATTCCCGATAAAAACAACGATGGCAACATATTTAGCATCATTCAACAAAAGCTATTAAGACTGATAACCACGCTATCAAGATTTAAATGAATCACCACATACAGTGGTCAATAAACATACGTAGATAAAATGTGTGTTTTTCTTGTGTGGATCCAAATAAAACACTAGTATTCTATGGAATGCTATTTATACAATCATTGCATGTAAACAGAATTACTCATTCCCCATAATTTTGCATTGCTAGTCTCGAAAACAAACACAAATCCCTACCTACCCTCGATACCTCGGTCTACAGTTTGGGATGGGGAGTTGGGAGTTGGTGTTATTCAAGACCACGTAATCGGATGGGAGTGGAAGTGAAGCGAGGAAGGTGCGTTTGTGTGTTTTGTTTGGAATGGAATGGGGACAGTGAGGCGGCAACGGCAACAGCGCGGGCCGGTGTGACGTGGCAACGTCGCATGACGTCACAGAGACGCGGTGTTGCCAGCTTTGGCGTTTCTTCAACGCCGCTTCAACTTGGGCGCGCGTCTTCTAACGGCCATCGGCCACATCCTTCATCCTTCCCCTGCAAGGACTATATCCGTGCCTATACCAGCTATTGCGTCCTGTCTCACCACTCGATACCGCATCGGGAGTCGTAAATCATGTGAATAAAACTACAGTAAAACCTTGATAACAGCACTCATTGGGCTTACTAAATAACACTTGTTATCAAGGTTGTCTTATATAGCCTAGCTTTGAAATAGCAAAATGGCATTTGTTATGAAGGGTGTCTTGTTCTCAGGGTCCATTGTACTAAAATCGCAAAATATAACCAATTTTCGGGTACAAAATGCAAACTATTTTAACTTTTTTATTGCTTATTTTATAGATTTTAATAAATGCTTATTTTATTGCAGCACTAGTGTTACTAATATCAAACTAATATCTTCAAATACTAATATCTTCAAATATCATTTTGAATGAATAAATTAAATGTCATTGATTTATTGTTATGAATAAAATAATGTTTTGTGACTATCCACGCCATAATAGTAGATAGATACAGTCTATGAATAACCGCTTCAAAACGATTCATCACCGGCATTAACACCTGTCGGTAAATTTAAAACAATTTCTTGCCCACTCCGGTGTAAACGGGGGTTTAAATTGTAAACAAAATGGAGTCAGACTTTTAAGGGAATAAAATGTCCTACTAGTGCATCACCACAGCATATATACATAAATTAATCAATACAGACAATTCAGTGTAAATAACTTTGCAAGAAGTCAACCCAAAAATCGTGAGCAATATGAATCACACCGTAGCCAGTGAACGTTATGAATCACTGAGTCATTTCGCGAATCGTAATGGTTGTGGCAATGACCTTTCGTTACTCTATGTAACAACTTTCTTCTCCATTTCCCTTCCTATGACAAACTACGGTTTGTGAATGAATTCCTGTTCATTTCTTTTAACAAAAGCCACCAATAACATTCTCCTAGTTTGCAGTGTTGCCAAAATTGTTAATAGATAACTTATCCAAGGTCAAGTGTACAGGTCAAAGTTTATTGATAATCTGTATTGAAACAGTCTATAACTTGATTTGAATTATTGCCATTGAAATTTTATTATTTGAATTAGAAATTCGCTTGCATCAACTTTTGATTCAACTTGGGATCACAAGCCTAGACAAACCTGCATACTCAGTAGGAAATTAATTTCCAGTTGCCTATTTTCATTTTCACTAAAACATATCCTCAAAAATGTTAGATTTTTTATTATTAATTAACTAAAATTAGGGTTAATGAGGACTTAGGTTGCTTCCATAAGGATTACTTATACTTACATTTTAATTGGCGACCCTTAAACTAGGTACTTTTTATAAATATAAAGTGTCTTTTTAGTAGTGTACTGTAAAGCTTAGCGTGAGATGAAATATTTGCCAAATTTAATCAATAAACAAGTAACTTAAATTAAATAGCCTACAACAGTTAACTTAATTTCCATAAAAATAACAAGGGTAGGCCTATTAAATTTAGACGTTTTTCAAGCTTTCTCCATAACCATTAAGCATTTAACACCGCTTCAATATACTTAAATTAGGTATATGTTTGTCAAGCCCCACAAAATGGTTTGGAAATAAATCCCAGAAAGTGTTATGTATTGAGGGAAATCCCCACTTTTACAACCCTGTTCCCATTATGCTCCAATTATGCAAGCTCGCTACAGTTACTCGTTAAAATAAACTTAGGTTTACAAATTTGTGACAAATTTCAACAGAATCGGACCGTGATTTTAACATGAGTTATCATGGTAACGGGATATATGATTTTATATTAGGCTATATATGAATCCAAATTGATGTGGTCTTTTTGGCCTCTGGGAACATCGAAACAATAAAGCAAATCTGTCCTAGGTCTCTTACCATGAGGACTAGAGTGGTAATGGAATCCCCCCTATATGGGAAATTCGCTAAAGAGCTAAACATCAGATTTCTGGGGTGTTCCATGGTACAATTAAGATGGCTCCTTTAACTCAATCAAAAAAAAGATGTTGCTTTAGGCTACACATTTTAGCGAATTTCCCTATAGGGAAGTAGCTATTACCATAGGTCTCATGGTAAGACTTGAGCCCGGAACCAATTTACATTTTCATTTTGATGTCCCCAGAGGCCAAAAGGCAAAAACACTAATCATTCAAATTTTTATATAGCCTACCTATAGGCTATTATGTGTGTATTTTTTCCAAAATTGATGACATTTGGTTTGAAGGTGTAAGGCGGGATAAACTTGAATGAGATCGCGAACCAGCATGATTGGACAATGGGAACGGGGAGTTATATATGGGTTAAATATTGATTTTTCTCATCTTTGACCATCAAGACACAACATTTTTCAAATTTCTCTCCAGACCATTTTAAAGGACTTAAAAAGACAAATAATTTAGTAGGCTACCCGGTACATTGAATTATTTTTGTGCGGTTATTGATTATTGAAACACTGCAGCAATCCCAAGGGTAGGTCTTACCATGAAAAGTACGGCAATAGGCATTTAGCTACTTCCCAACCAATAATTTGTTAAAAAATATAGACTAGCAATATCACGAATATTTGGGAACCCAATGTGAGTAAAATACTTAAGCAGCTACTAGTTAGGTTAGCAGATTTCATCATTGTTCTACTTTTTACTTCAACACTATAATTTTTACCATAATTATTATATTATTTTTTAAGAAAATTTTCTTCAACAAGGTAGGTACCTAAATTAAAAGTGTGACTGGTGTTCAACAGATTAAACACCTAGGCCTACTGAGATTAAGGAAGAACAGGATGTTGTAGTGAGATGGTCGGTGTTGCCAAGGTGAAATATTTGGGCAGCTGGTCTATAAATTCAAAAATTGGCGAAGGAATGGAGTGGGCACGACCTTGGGGGCGTCGACCGTCTCCGATGTTTGGGTTTTGACGCCAACGACCCAACCAAACCCAACCTTTTGAAGGATAGTTAGTTAGTGAGTCAGCCAAAGATGGTCGTAGGAATATTGATTGTTACACGCAAAACAGTTACCTGATAGTTGGGCGAGAAATAACAAAAGCCTTTCAAAGCTTAACCGAAATTAATTACCGGTACTGAATAGTTTATTGGAGAAAATTTCTAACATATCTAGAGACTGTATAGTATTTTTCTTAAATAGGCTACCTACTCTGGATGTATAAAAATTCTTCAAAAAAATAACTATGAAAAAATCATGGTGTGGAAGTAAAAAGTAGAACAAAGATGAAATCTGCTAACCTAACCACATAGTTGCTTGTTTTTACTCACATCTGGGTTACTTTTCATGATATTGTAAGCCTATATTTTTAAACAAATAATTGGTTGGGAAGTAGCTAAAATTGGTCCCGGGCTCAAGTCTTGCAATGAGACCTACGGTAATAGCTAGGTACTTCCCTATAGGCTAGAGTAATTTGCTAAAATGAGTAAAGCAACATGTTTTTTGATTAAGTTAAAGGAGCCATCTTAATTATACCATTGAACATCCCAGAAATCTAATGTTTAGCTGTTTAGCCAATTTCCCATATAGGGGGGATACCATTACCATTATAGTCCTTATGGTAAGAGACTCAGGACAGATTTGCTTATTCTTTTAAGGTTCCCAGAGGCCAAAAAGACCACATCAATTTGGATTCATATGATGTATCCCGTTACCATGATAATTCATGTTAAAATCACCCGATTGTGTAAAAATTTGGCACACATTTGTAAACCTAAGTTTATTTTAACGAGTTAGCGAACTAGCATAATCGGACTATGGGAACAGGGTTTTCAAAGTGGGGTAAAATAATTTAAGTAGGCCTATATTGAAGCTGTGTTCAACGCTTAATGGTTTAAAATGTTGAAAGCTTGAAAAACTTAACGTCTAAATACCCTTTGTAATTTTATGGAAATTAAGTTAACTGTTGTTTTTAATTTAAGTTACTTGTTTATTGATCAAATTTGGCAAATTTTTCATCTCGCGCTAAGCTTTTTACAGTACACTGTAGGGACTAAGTTAGAACATGGTGTTGTCAGATTGCGGTTTTAAGCGTGAGGAATGTGGGCAGAATGTGTGCTCAATGTGAAACGTTATTTTTCCAGTGCTACCGTGATCACTGAACTAGGCTCAGTTTGAAGTCAATAGTACTTAACATGGTCTTACCTAATGGTTTCAACAATCTCAACTGCTCCATCATGTCTATCCTGAAACACAACACAAAAATTAAGCTCGTGAAAACATACTTCAATACAGACAAGCTGATTTTACTGAGTGGTAAACTTTTAAAACAGAAGCTGTAAAATGGAATCTGGCCTGGCTGGAGCCGACAATTTAGGCCTAGAGCTGAGCTTAGCGCTAACTTAATAACTTGTTTAAGTTAGTTAGCACGATAACTCGAGCAAAAATGATCCGATTTTGATTAAATTAGACACAATCGTGTAAACCTACATTTAATTCAAACGAGTTCGCGACACCAGCATGATCGGACTATGGGAACGGGGGTTTATAGGGGGAGGGTTTTATGGGGTAAAAATAACTTAGGTTTTTCCCATTTTTGACCCTAAAAACACAAAATTTTCACAATTTCTTTCCAAACCGTTTTGTAGAGCTTAAAAAACAAATACCGGTAATTTAGTAGCCTAGGCTATATTGAAGCGTTATTGTGCGCCTAATGGTTACGGAGTAAATTCCAAAAATTGGTAAATTTATAATTCCCATGTTATTCTTATGGAGAATAAGTCAACTGTTGTAGTTTGCTTGTTTATGAAACATATTTTGATCTAATTTGGAAAATACATTCTTTTCTTAACTGAACTAGGCCTATAGGCCTAGGTTTTACAATAAAAACACCTTTTTACCCTCCCTGTTGCAGCAAACCTAAGTACTCGTTAAACTAAATCTTTTTAAATAGGGAATAAAATGTGATATTTTTAAGGAGGCATTTCAGTGTAAATCCTATCAGGCTAATGGAAATTCGCTTAGTCTGCAGGTTTGCTGCAGCGGGGGTATTTTAAATCTTGAGGTAAACTAGGCCCTATTGTAAATGTCGATACACATGTGACAATTTATTGATTCCTTTTTAACAATGCTGTTCATAAACTTGCTGTAGCCTACATGTAGATCTTGGGCTCGTCTGGTGTTGTAGTTATATGGATAGGCTTACCGGTACTATTGTTGTTGGTAAAATATTCCGGTTTGGCATGTTGAGCGCATCCTTAAGTTTAGGCCCTACTTACTTAAGTGATCTTAATTTGAGGAAATAAGCCTTCTGAACTTTAATGTAGGCCTAGGCCTAAAATGTTATAGGCTAGGCCTATGTACTACCTTAATTTATGGTTTAGAAACTAGGCTATATAAAATAACTACTTAGCCGTACACCATTAGGGTTGGACAAATTTGAAAGACTACAAGTCTTACATCAGCAGTTGATTAAATATTTTCGCTCAGAATGCATGGAGCCTAAAACAGAAGCACAAGGATAGGGGTTTGGCTTCAACCTCATGTTTGTGAATGGATATCTAATTTTCAATTCGGATAGAAACTATGAAAATCCTGGAATAATGGTATAAAAAGAAACTTATGAGTTAACTTACCGATCCCCTTCCAGAGGTCAATGGCCATCTATAAACGACAGCTTCTGCCCCTACTGGACTATGGAGACGAAGCTCTTGATCCTCCATGTTATATTGAAAAGGTGTATGTATTATTAAAACACAACACAATACACAAATTATCAAGAAATTATGGTTTTACACTGATCACCAACACACCACAAACACACGCACGCCATCACGACACTATAATTTCCAAAACACTCCACACATTATTATAATCGTTTGACGAACAAAAGGCGACCGACATCGGAAACCGCACAACACTCAGCACTCAGCGAAGGCGAACAGACGGTCTGACATCTTCGTTTTCTTTCTTCTTCTTCTCTTCTGTGATCAATCAAGGCTACCAACCGACTCGGAAACACCAAAATTGTAGTACCCAGTTTTGCATTAAATTCAAACTAAATTCCCCGGAAAATCTTAAGACATATATATTTATTAGTATTACTAATATATAATGCAATGGTTCAGAGCCTAAGCCCCATTGATACACCTGCTATTTCGCTAAATAAATGGTGTCATAATATTTATATCAGCACCTTTTGTACTTTATTGGACTCTTAATTAATTACTATTAAGATAGATAAAACCATTGCTAAAATTTAACTTTGAATGGTAAGAGGAGCATAAGAGGGAAAATTTAGTACATGTGCATTTCTTGTTCTTGAAGTAGTAGTATAGTGCCTCATATAAATTAACTGTAAATTCAGTAAACAGTAACTGTTTTCTCCTTGGACTTATTACCTGATTTTATGGAGAGTCCCGAAAATATGGGTGGTATAATAACGCACAGTAAAGCAAGGTCAAATCCATTCCACTTATTGACGTCATGAAAGGATAAAGGACCGAATAATACACACCTACTATGTTCCTCATTGAAGCCATGAGCATGTTTTTGACTTGCTGCATGACTCATAATGTTATTACCCTCCATGAGCCGAGCCACGACCCAGGCCGCGGCCTTCGAAGTGACAACGTCGCAAGTGGTGTTGTAACAGCTGTTTTGTTTGGAAGCAGCTAATGGTATTTGTGTATTTACGAAAGATTGGTTACTGGATTATGACAATATTGACTCCGCTTAAAATGCACATACTGTAGCCTATATAGATTTTTAATTCATATTGTTTTAGTTTTCAATTCTGTACGTTTTATCCTAGATTTTAATACATTTATGTTCATAAGTTTATATTTAAATAAATAAAGTGCGAATTGATGAGCTGATGTCACCTGTCTGCCATGTTATGTTATGGGACATATGTCACTAAACAACACCACTTGCGACGTTGCCAATTCTACCAGGCCACTGCCTGTAGTTAAAGGTGGCCGTGGCCGAGCCCCGACCTTTGTGTAAGGCTTTCTGTCCGGGACGAGGTTAACCAGCGTAAAGCACATTATGGTACAGTAAGGGTTAGCTTTCTAAGGGTCAACCGGAATAGGAAAAGACAAGTTTTTCTGATTTTGAACCCACATCACATTGTGGACTACCCGAAAGCCTAAACCACTGCGTAGCAATCATTTGAATAGTTTAATATAAATAAGGTTCTCGAAGATATAAATGTTTAGTTGTCGATAGTATTTATTTATTTTATTTATTTCAACGGCAGATCACCAGTTTACAATGTAGATGCAAGAAGCCTATATGGTAACAAAATGCATGTTAGCAGAAAACTTAACGGATTCTTCATGGCAAAAGAATGTAACAACGCACGTGAGCAATGTAAACAACGGAAGCGCAAAATAGAATATGAAAAACAATAACAATGATAAACATTTGATACAACAATACAAATTTTGACAATCGATACAACAATAACATTTTTAAAAATCAATACAACAATTATAGCGAAATTGACAATTCCCGAAAAAGAGATGGGAAAAATAACAGTTATAGCAATGGGACACACGCTAGGTTTCGTGGCAGGGAATCAGGATGCGGCTGCAGGAGCGTCTGATGCATAATTAATTCTTAAATTTGTATTAGTTTAATGGCATATTTTGTTATGATAAACTATCTAATATGTATCAGAGAAACGCTGGCCGTTAAAGACAATTTTCATTTATTAACAATATTGAAATAATGATACAGTAATGAGAATGTGAAATAAGAAAAGGGGCCCCAACGGAAGATTTTTTACAAATATCCCTTCTTCAATCCAATAATGCTCTGAAACACGCTTTAACCGTTAATAAAAATTTTAAGTTTCTTAAACCTAAGAACATTACAGACAACCAATTAACCAGCAAACTGATATAACCAGTAAGTTATCTAATACTTTATTGTTGTGTTGTAGCTTCATGAACTACAATTTTGCCACCACATTTGTTAGAGGGAAAAAATCATGACAACGTGATCGCCGACGCCGCTGCATGCTTTGCAAGTGTAAATAAATGTCAACATATTTTTAGGTTAAAAACTAACGAACGAAGAAGTAGACAGACAGACAAAGAAAGGTCACATTAAAGTGAAATTTTAGTCACTACTGACAATTTGTTACCGACAAATACTTTCAAAATGATGCTCATGTACTACCTTGATTCTAACGGAAAGAGAGTTTATACGTTAAAGGTAAATAGACGCTAAGTTACCATGCCTGCCTTGGCCTCCTTCCTATGTTATAAAATATATTCCTAAGTTAACTTATCACGTTTTACAGTTTCAGTAGGGGTAGGCTTATGTCACTTTTTCCTTAATATCCAATATCGTGTGCTAAGCCTACATGTTTTTATTTTTTGTTAATTTTTATTTATGACTGTCAACAAATGGTTTGGGCAAATTTATGTAGGTTTGTGAAGGCAAACCTACATAAATTCCCTACAAGAAATACTGTTCATAGCCATGGTACAAGACATCGCTCCGACCTGGACATACCGTTCTGCCGGCTGTCTAAAACCAAAAACTCTTTCTCAACGCTTGCCCTGAAGATTTACAACCACCTGCCTAGGCTGCACTTTACTTGACGTCCTACACTCATTCGATTGTTTTTTCGATTCAATATTTTTTATTCGATTGTTTCATTCGATATATCGTTTGGTTAGTTAGGTTAGGTTAACCTTACCTAACTAACCAAACGATATATCGAATGAAGCAGTAGATTAATCGATATATCGATCGATATTTTCATTTGGATGAGTGTAGGACGTCAAGTAAAGTGCAGCCCCTGCCTACGTCAATCAAAAACCAAGGGGAAACGGCCTTTCGTACAGCCCTGAAAAACTTGTTGAGGGAGAAACCATACTACAGCCTGCAAGAATATTTTAATGAAAAACTCTTAAGTCAATAAGCCTGCGGCAAAATCATCCACCGCCAAAGTACTTTTAATACAGTTCATACTTCAATCTATGGAAGTTTTTATGTATATAGTGTAAATAGAAAATAGAAAATTGACGCAACCTATCCGGCTTTGCTGGTCTCGGTCAAGGAGGAGGTAATTAAGCTGGAGGTAATTAAGGTAATTTGTTAAAACTAGATGATTTCACAGCTTATCTCTATTAGGCCTAACTTAGGCCCTAATTGTCTATTCTGTTTCCCACCCTTGGCCACATTGACAACCATTTACCATTGAAGTCTTCACCGCAGTCCTTGGAGACCGGGGAATTGTCAAATCACCGTGGCCTCTTTGATTTTGGATTGGAGACCGTTGTTTAGTTATGGTTTTGCCTATCATTGCCGTATAACGCTAGGTGTAGTGGCAGCGGGCGGCCAGATTTATGTTAACACATGCAAACGAATAAACCCCTTTTGATGAATAAGTCAAAGATACATTTGTCCTTAAGGCCATGAATAGCTGATTGATTCTGGTCATCTATTTGTTATGCATATTGTTTGAGTTATGCATAGGCCCTAAGTGTCTTTCCATTTGCATCCAGCTGCGCTAACATTTTAAGCTCAAAAAAGCGACTACAGTCTAGAAACAGTGTTCAGGAAGTTGTGTGCCATCCGCTTCCAGGGCAGATCCCCATCAAACAACTCAACTTCTTATTACAGTATTTGTATTTTACTATAGATCTAATAACATTTGCAAGTTAAAGCTAACCTAAATATTTTTTTTTCTTTTTTATTTAAAAGAAATGTTTAATATCTTTATAGGCACTGTTTCATTTATGTATTTATAAAATTTTTGCTAGTTAAAGTTAAACAATTGTTTACTTATTATGGAGTCACTGTTTTTAATTTTTTTATGTTTATGTAAATCAATGGTAAATTAGGCATTCTTATTTATTTATTTTTTCTCCAATGTCAACAATAGCTCAAACAATAGTCATAGGTTGGGACTGGCAGCGGGCACTGTGACAGTTGTCATGCACGCAGATGGTGATAATTACAATTTATTTAATGAAAAACTCAACTGTTTAAACCTCAATTCTACTGAGGAATATTCTAAATTTTACAAGCGTAATGTTGGGGACAGCTCTATTGGTATATTTCACTCAAATATCAGGAGTTACAAGAAAAACTTTGATGAAATGTGTTTATATCTTAATAATTTTATTACGGGAATTGACATAATTGTTTTCACAGAATGCTGGCTGTCTGGAGGGGAGGGGGTGGCTACCTTGGAGGGCTTTGACCTTTTTCACACTTCCACTTATCGCAATCAGAACGATGGGGTTATTGTTTACGTAAACAAACATTTATCTGCTACGGCTACTGAAATTACCATTGGGGACGTTTACGGCATTTCATTACACTTTTCTCTTTCCAACAAACACTTCAACCTATTAGCAATATACAAAACTTTTGATTGTAATGTTGAAATGTTCTTACATGACCTAGAAGTTTACTTATTTAATATCAAAGATCACATGGTTATTTATCTTGGAGACGCTAACATTGACATACTAAACATGAATGTTCTCACACATAGGTACTTAAACATTTTAACTGGATCGGGATTTACACAATGCATTGACAAACCTACACGAGTGACTCAAAACACAGCAACTTGCCTTGACCACATATTTATCAAATACAAAGACTTGGAGAGTGTAAAGTCGGCTGTGTTACAGACTAATGTTACCGACCACTACAGCACCGGGATCACTATCACATTGGGGACACCGAACTGTCACTATGACCCACCGCCACGCACACACCTGGACCACGCACTACTCACACACTTCCTCACGCATTCCAACTGGGATCCCATAACCTCTTGTCATGACAATGTTAATTTCTGTTCCGAACATTTTACCAGAATCATCTCTAATTCTGTTTCTGCGGCTAGTAAATTGGCTTATAACAAGAAATCACGTTTCAAAAAGTTAAAACCGTGGATAACGTCAGACCTAATACATCAAATAAGAGTAAGAGACAAATTAAGTAAGCAAGTCAAAAAGCAGCCTTTTAATAACGAACTTATTACTCGATACCGAGAAATTAAAAATAGTTTAAGTGTTTCATTGAAGCTGACAAAAAGAAACTATTATAGAAATAAACTACACTTGACCGGCAACAACCCTAAAATGTTTTGGGGTATAATCAATGAAATATCTGGTAGAAAATGTAAAAAAGATTCCTTTCCTATTGATAAGTTTGTTCCAGCGGACCAGATATCTCCAGCGCAATGTCTAAGAGTTGCCAATGATTTCAACAATTTTTTCTCCTCTGTAGGCTCTAATTTAGCAATCTCCATCGATTCAGGTGGGGACCCAGTTGTAAATGACAATGACTTTGCCCATGATTGTACATTTACACTTCACACAATCACTGAACCCGAACTGCAACAACACATTTACAGCCTACGCGGTGGGTCAGCACCTGGCTGCGATGGTATCTCAGCCGAAGTCCTGAAAGCCAATTTCCATTTGTTTAAACAACCACTCTTACATCAAATCAAATCAAATCAAATCTACATTTCAATTCTACATATAGTAAATTTAAGCATTTCATCAGGTACATTTCCGGAATGTTTGAAACTTGCTAAAGTTTTTCCTCTTTATAAATCCAATGAGTTTGCCGATATGAATAATTACAGACCAATATCTCTCTTGAGTGTATTTGCTAAGTTAATTGAGAGAATAGTAAAAGATCAATTAGTTATATTTCTTCAAACAAACAACATTTTGAGTGATTGTCAGTATGGGTTTCGCTTGGACAAAAACATTTTAGATGCACTTTTTGACATTAGTAGGGACTTAAATTCGGCAATTTCAGATAATGAACATCCAATATTAATATTTTTAGATCTTAAAAAGGCATTTGATTCAGTTGATCGATCTAAGCTTTTTTCCAAATTAGAAGCAGTTGGCGTAAGGGGTAACACACTTCAATGGTTTAAAAGTTATCTGTCTCAAAGATCTCAACTTGTATCAATACTTAACACCAACAGTAATATTGAACACGTTAACTATGGTGTAGTTCAAGGCAGTACACTTGGACCTGTTTTATTTTTAATATAAATAATATTTCAAAACTTAATATTTTTGGTAAGCTTTTCTTATTTGCTGATGACACTTTAATTTTGAACAGCGGAAAAACTTGGCTTGAGGCCCGCAACAAAGCTTTGCACGACCTAATGGAAACTAAGTTGTGGTTAAACCAGAATATACTCTCTTTAAATTCATCAAAAACTAAGTTTATGCCAATTTCTTTAAGTTTAAAATCTGATTATAATCTAGAAAATCTCGTCATTCACACCTGTGGTGATTACCTCGACGCCAACTGTACATGCGAATCTATTGAAAAAGTAGATTCATTCAAATATTTAGGAGTGGTCTTTGATTACCGTCTTAAGTGGTCTAGTCATATTCAATATTTAAACAGTAAAATTAGAAAATATATCTATGCTATCGGTCAGCTGAATCAGATTCTAAATGAAAGTGAAATGAAATTAATGTACTATGCTTTTGTTCAATCACTTTTAGCTTTCGGAATAATAAGCTGGGGGGGTTGTTATAAAAGTATTTTAGAGCCATTAAACATAACACAAAAGTTAATATTAAAAATTGGTTTTGGGAAGTGCAGGCGTTACCCATCTGACACTCTCTTTAAGGATGTGTCAGTTTTAACGATCAGACAACTTTTCATAAAAAATGTTCTAAGTCATATTTTTAAAAATTATAGCAACATTTTCTCTATAATTTCCCATACACATAATACTAGATATTCTACCCGAATTGGAATTACATCACTACAACTGTACAAATCCTTTTCATCGACCAACTCATTTTATATTGCACATGTTCTATTTCGCAACTTACAAAACTTTTTTCAAAGTGTTAATCTCTTTGACTCCCCCACTTTAAACATATTCAAACGCCGTGTCAATGAGTGGTTACTTGGTCTAGGCGGGGACGAGGCTGAGCTTATCATCGCAGCTGATTACAGACACAGACGCTCCTGACACGACATGCGACCTGACCATTGTACCCTGACTCGCTATCCGCCGCCCGCCCCACCCCTCTAGACACACTTTCAAAGCCGTAGAATTCCTGTCACTATTACATTTCATTTATTTTTATTTAAACTTAGTTATGCCACCTAATATTTTTTCACGTAGCCATTCATTTCACAATTTTATTTTTTTTTTTTTGTAACTCCATCACATCATTTTTTCACCTCATCATTTCTCCTGTCATTTATTTATTTATTGCATTTGATAAATAATGTATGTTTGGAAGCAACTGCAGTCGACGCACAGGCTCGCTGCCCATGTCGGCTTATTCCCTATTAACATGTACGTTTTTTTTTTTTTTACCATAGATGTAATGTAAAGGTTTATTTAATTTTATTCTTTTAAATTCACTTATGTTTTTGTTCTTCCATTAAATATTTGTGTACATATTTTGTAAATACCGTAATTTGTTGGAATAAAGAAATAATTCATTCATTCATTCATTCATTCAAAATCTCCGCAGTCTTGTCCTGAGCTTAGTCCACGTTCTTGAGCTTATCTTCTACTAGTTTGCTCTTTGGCCCAATGGAACTTCAAACAAATATGTTGTAGGTACATCTTGATTCGCCTTACATTTCATATTTGGGGAGGTAACTTTTGATCCTCATCTGCTATCATACTGTCACTCACTCTGTCTGAAATTTCGCCGAAGTTACTAGTTAGGTACCTTTGAGATCCATTTCTGAATTCTCGCCACTTCTCACAAAGGTTTTATTACACTTTTAAAACTTCTGCAGTAACTCAAAACTCTAAAGCGATATTTTTGCCTCACAAAAAATGTTTTGGTCACTCAATCAGTATTTAAGAAAACACAAGTCTGAGTCGAAGATATTAATACACAGTATTCAATGCCTTCATATTTAACAATCTGCTTTCAACTTTACTTGTATTTAAAGAATTTTAATCTGATATTTTTTTACAGTTGGTAGCACCTGATGGCTCGCCTACTCTCTCAGCTCACCCTGGTAAGTGATTAATTTTTCTTCAATAATTATTTATTTGTACCATTTAGGTGTTGGTGTTAAGTGTACCAGATTGATGAGTTTTTAAATTCTGAAATAGTTATTTGAATATGCTGTCATCCTACATAGCTTTAAATAGAAAATAGTATTAGCTTTAACACGTTCGCTACTGCAATAGTACGAAATTTTTCATTCACATGGACCAGCGACGCACATATGCGACGGCCGGTTTCCACCCATAGACTGCCGTCGCATATATGCGACGGAAGTCACATTAAAATAGACTGACGACGCATATTTGCGTCGGGGTTCTAATGTTATTAAAATGCTTATATCTTTGTAACGGTCTATTTGAAGGCACTGAATTCCCTGCAGTGGTCTACAGTGATGTCTGACGCACAACTGCGTCGCTTGGTCTGTGGATATGATGATTAGTGACGTCATATGATAGTTGGAGAAACTGGTCTTTACTTTTCTGCATCACTGTATGTATGTATGCAGTATTTATGCTGCATTATCCTCTGTAGCTTTTATATTTGTTCAGTTATAATCTGTTCTTGAATAATCTGTTTTTTTTTACTTACTTTTACCCCAAGACACAACAAAAATTAACTGTCGCATATATGCGACGTTTGGTCTATTTCAAGAAAACTATGATAATTTTCACTATTGTCTTTGCTGTAGACCGGGCGTCGCAAATATGCGACATTACTAAAGGTTATAAAAAATACAAAAAAACAAGAATAAATTATTTACAAACACGATTGTAGCACATTACAGTGTAAATTATCACTGTTTTACAGGTTTTCACCCGTGGTCTGTGTGTACTGTTAACCAAGTGACAGCCGGTCTATGTGTAAGATTAAAATGTATACCTCAGTCTATGGCAATGACCGCGGCGTCGCATATATGCGACGCTCAGTAGCGAACGTGTTAAAGCCTGACACTTATTTAGACTAATTTGACGAGATCTATTGTAAACAATGCATTTACTTAATGGTCAATAAATTTCTTATTCTTATTCTAAGTAAACTAGTACAGTACACTATATTATTGAGTTAAATAAGAAGGCATTTGAAAATTACTTAAAGACCCATTTAACTTAACATATTCCATGTTAAACAAAATAATTTTAGCTGGCCCTTTTAGATGTCAATGAAATTTAAGACTCTTACGACCCATAGAAACTAAGAAAACTCTCTAATTCGAAATTGATATTTCAACTAATACCATACTCACACATCATTAAATGTTTCTAAAATTGTCAGTGCAAAAAATAGAGGCAGTGAATATTCAGTCTAGGTACAGTTGATGTCAGATGTAAATGCACAGTACCCTAGGTAGACCGTCCCGTCCTAATCTTTGCTTACAAATCAGCAATTCAAATGATGTTTAAATTCTATATACACATTTATATGGGGGTTTCTTGTGTGTTGTTACTTACTTACCTACTTGAGAGATGACTGTATTGTTTTGTTCTTGTGTATTGTATTTGTCTATTTTGTATTTTATTTGTGTTTATATTTTATGTAACGATGAATTTGACACCATTCTTGTATATACAATATATACTAATGAATAAAGATGTTTTGAATTGAATTGAATTACTCTGATATACCCCACAATATCACTCGGTAACCAGTTATGTCGATAACGGGACATCGTAGAACTGTGATTAAAATTTTGTCTTATCCGTCTGCTATAGGCGGGAAAAATGAGGCCTAATGGATCAATTTATCACAAATTCTAGTTGGACATGGAATTTCTTGGAAGAGAAGGGGGATGCCGAACACCCCAGCACTGTTTTGTAAACAAAGATTAGGACTGTGCATTTACGTCTGTCATCAACTGTACTCTGAGCATCTCTCAGAATCAAGCTAGAGTGGTAAAAGCGATATTTTGTAGGATTTTCTGAGTTAAACGTTAAAGTTGGTTCTTTGTAAAAAAATTAATAGGCCCTACCTAATACATCTACGACATATTTACATCATAATTTTCATTGTATTTATGGCTTATAGTTTGCTCTTAGGACTATAAGATTATTGTGAAATTTATATGAGAGGCCTGAAAATTAAAATGAATTGTGCAAATATTTCAATAAGGTAACTTAACTTTTATTTATTGCAAAATAAAAAATTTTAATTAACTTCTACAAATCAAAGTTTGAAACATTGAAGTGCGAATGAATTGCATACTAATGACACACGAGTGTCTTGTATTTTTGCTTTATATCCAAGACTATGCGTCATTATGTCTAAAACTTCTATTGGGAGAGCGTAGAATAACCTTAGTTTCATTGTGTATTCCACTACCAGACCTACAGTTTGCATGTGATGTGTTGTGGACTGTGGTCCTAAGAAATATTTGTGCCCCTCTCTACCTACCTTGTAGGGAATTTTCCTCCTCATGCCTCAAACAAACCCAAAAACCTCTTGTGCCCCTGGCCTCATTTTATTCAAGCAGCCCTGTCTGTTACACTCTAATGTTTTCTTTAGCCTAAACACCCAAACAGAGTAGCCCTAGAATCTTCAATTATGCTTATATTTTCTTTATTATCTCTTTAGTTTTACAAACTTAGTAATTTTGAATTGTACAATAAGGAGGATTAGCTTACCTTGAAAAAGTGTTGCAAAGGACTGCACTCGACAAAGTCCCCCAGGGATTGTGTAGTTTTTCTCCTGTACGTTCTATGGCCTACCTGCACTTTTTCAAGGTAAGCTATCTGCTATCCTCCTTATTACACAATTTAAAATACTGTCCTAGAGCCTTTTCCTACAGTTACCTAACAATGTACATGTTCTCTCACTGATTTGAGAAAGCAAAGTGACCAATTCGCTCATCAGTGAGACAATGTTAACATTGTCTCACTCTAATTACTTTGTCTCACTCCAGATTTGCAACGTGAAGGCACGAAATAGTGAGCGCGTAACATGCAGGCAACGTCGTATGCGCACGAAATACGTTGGCAGCACTGGCTGTAAATCAGCTGGTCAGCTGTTGTACTGTTGTATTTGTCACTTCACATTAAATGTTATATTAAAAGTTCACTTCTGTGTAAAAATAGGTTATGTTTCTTCACCAATTTATTTGTTTTATGGTAACTGTAGGAAAAGTATAATGTGCAACTCGAGTTCAAAGTACAATTGCCTCACTCGAGAAACTATTCCTCACTCACCTACGGCTCGTGAGTAAGGATTTCTCTCGAGTGAGTCAATTGCTCACTTTTCTCACTAGTTGCACAAATAACTATTCCTTGAACAAAACTAAACTTAGTACAGTCTAACCTTGATATAACAAATTCCTTGATATAGGAAATTTTTTTAAATTCCCTAGAACACTCCATAAGACTCAATGTATATTTTACCTCTACATAACAAACAAACCATATCAACAACCTTAATTTAACATATTTTTGACGATCCCAGCTAAAATAAAACACCTCAATATAACGAATTTATCATTGTCAGAACCTCTACATAGCAAATTTAACCTCTACTTAACAAATTGGCTGCGTTTTTCCCTCGATATAACAAACTCCCCCATCATTATTGTTTTTGAAAAATCACAGTTTCTTGATGAATATAAAAGGGTAAGATGACATCAACACTTGCGAAACATTCGTCTGCACAGTTTTTCACATCTCCACATCTTTCAGCTGTGCGCTTCACAACTGATTCATTCACCGAGGACTGATGACCGAGATCTTGTTTCTGAACCTCGACTTCCTGCAAATCTAACCTCAATATAACGAATATTCAGTTCGGTCCCTTCAGATTCGTTATACCAAGGTTGGACTGTAATTTTATTGTCCGACAACTCGCTGATGTGTGTTTCTTATGCCAAGCTTATTGTAACTTATTTTTTGCATTTCAGCAAGATTTTCCCCTCAAGATCAATATTCCAGACAAAGGATAGCAGTGAAGAAACGGTTCAACCTTCTTCCAACGCAGCAACCTGAACCAGCTTACTAGATTGATACCACTGATATTTTAATAATAAATACTTTTTTCTACTCTTAATTTTTTAAAATTTAAACCCCGTTTTTGATTTTGTTCAAAAATAGTGTTACTGAAAACAAAACTCTCATTTAGTTGTAAAGATGCATAGCATGTCTCCGTAACTGATATTTGGTTGGTTATATTTTTCAAACACATATAGAAAGGAATCCTATGCTTTCTTGAATCAATCAGATATTATTAAATAATTTGACAGTGTTTTTTTTTCTTTCAAGGAGCCAAACTGATTTCATACTGAGTACCTAATTAATGTTCCTAAAATAGGTTAGGCAAAAATTTAAGTCAATAATTGCATTATATCCTTGTTGTATCCATAATCAACAATATTCAACAATTAACACATCAACAGTCAATCACTATTAAGTACTAATTATTAGCTTTGAGCAATGATTGTCTTGACTTGTTCCTTTACAAATTGCAAAAACATTTTATGAAAAACTTTGCTACCTGAGACAACTGTCACCTTAAAAAATTATTTAATTTAATCTAGGTTAGAGAAATGAAATAAACAGCTACAGTATTAAATAAATTTATAAATCTTTGGTTACATATCACAATGTGTTTATAGTCTTCATTTGTTGACAGTGAGATTGGCCTTTAAAAATTGACACTTTGCAGACCTGAAAAAAAATTTCAATTATCTATAAGGAACAAAAGCTTATAATGGAACACTTAGCTCAGATGATTCTGAATTACTCATAATAAGTACATAAATGAGAGACAATAAACCTATGTAGGATCAGATAAGTTTGCTCAGATAACAAAACACTTTCTGGGAAAATTCCATGGGAACATATTCCAACATCCTCCGTACATCCTAGATTTATCGCCAGTAACTACAGTCTCTCCTTACGAAGTGGCTGGGATCCCTGAGGTCTGTAACAATGAAGAACTAAAAGATGCAGTCCAGATTGGCTCAAGGCACAGGCAGAAGATTTTCATAAAGACATAATTCTGAATCCCGTAAAGGATTTTATACGTGGTTAGGCTACATTTGTAAGGTAGGTCTAAGTGTTGAAAAAGGAATTTACACCCAACAAAATACCCAAGTTTCCCCTAATCATGACTGAAATGTAGAGCGACACATTATAAATTGAACTGAATTGTGTATTTTGATAACTATTGTCACTTAAATAATTCAAAACATTAGTTTAACTCACAAAATCTTTTTAATCCACATTCACTGTTTTCCTTCAGATTGTTCTTTGTTGAAATGAACCTTGTTCTTTTTCTTTGACTTTTTCAACTTTTCTTCTAGTTTGTCAGTTAGTAAATACATTTCATTTTTCCACCTAAAACAGTAAAAATAAATAAGATGCTAAAGAAATATTAATATTGATAATCTTTTCTTTCACTGTATAATGATCAAGTTGGCCATCTTTCTATGTATATTTAAACTGTACATTAACTAATAAAGTGACTTCATAAAAAAAGTTCACTGAAACACATTCGCTGCGGCCTACTGCTATATCAGTAGTGTGCTCGCCTGCCAAATATTGCGTCTGTCTGAGCCCAGCACTCGGCCGGCGACAATGTGATTGTTGCCAGGCTATAGCTGAGAATAGGAGCTTTATTTTGGTGTAAGTTGGTACTAAACATTCCCGTAAAATCCCGTCTTGCAATGCTTTTGTCCCGTTTTTGGGAATTTTCTCTATTCGAGCTATATTACAAAGACTCTGGTTATTGATCCAGGCAGTGCTGCTACCTTTGAGTGTTTCAGTGAACTACGTTTAATTTCAGGGTTACGCAGAACAATCACCACTGCTCTTTTGTGATTCGTCTTACTGAGATATTTCAATGCCAATAGCGACCGCTGATTCAGTAGTGCGCCGGGGCTCCGCCCGAACCTCGCCGCAGTTTAGGAGCGCCATTGTAAAGGTTTTCAGCAGCGAACGTGTTAAAAAGTCTTGACATCATTGTTAATCACTGTAAGGGGCTAACCAACATGATGCAATTGGCATTAGTGAGGGTATAAGATACATTTGAAAGCATCAGAAACTATTGTATGGTTAAAAAGTAAAAAAAAGAAAAGAAAAAAAAAAAAAAAAAAACTAGTACCATACGGTATTAGTGTTCACCTCCCTCACAATACAAACGGGGCTAGTGCTTTCTTTTCTCCAGATCGAGTGTGTGTGCTACTGCTTTGGTGTGAGTGGATTTGACCACAGCACAACTTTCGGTTCAAAATTGAACAACAACATGTTTAAACGTTACTGCAAAAGAATACATTTAAAGTGTTTCTCGGGTTCCTCCTCATAATAATCATTACGTTTAGAGACACAACAAGTATTTTTAACCAGCAAATAAGTGAAAGATGAGTATATAGTGGGGCAAGATGACGTGTATATATGACTATGGCTTTGATAGTATAGTTTACAAACCATCACATTAGTTAATAGTTATGGTAAGTTACTGACTTGTCGTTCATATGTCCGTAGTTTTCATTCAATTTCTTGATCAGCTCCAACGTGCTTGACAGACTGACCTTTGCTTCCATCTCTCCTGAATTTCCTCTATGTAAAATTGTATGACTGAAAGAAATTGTAGCACAATTTTAATTTAGAATTTTTCTTTCTATACAAAGAATTACTCTTAAAGAATATTAAATAATTTACATCCAAACAATACTTCTAAATCTTTTCAAATATAATTTCCTGTAGGCCTATCTTTAGAACTTTTATTTTTAAAGCCTATTATTAAACTTCGTAAAGCATAATAAAAACAACAATTTTCTCAATAAGCAACTATTGATTTTAATTGTACTTCATACTTCAATTAATAATACAATTTTCAACCCCCCCCCCCCCCATAAAAAACATACATTACCAGGTTTGAAAATGGGGGATAAAATATTATTGAGTAAAGCATCTATTCTTACTTATTTAATACGCAAGCAGGATTTTTGTGACAATTACTCCTCCGAAACTACTTAACCGATTGACATGTTTTTGGTCTCATTGGAAAGAGTGTAACGTGAAGTTGTGCAGGAAACTTTCTTTTTAGGGAAATAATTAGAGAGTGAGGCCCTGGAGCCCTTTAAAGTGTTGTATTTCTCCATAAGATTAACATGGGAAACAAAAATTGTTATGAAACTCCAGCTGTTGTCAGAAATTAAAAGTGAGAAGAAGAACATATGTTGTAAACCGTTAATAAGTTTACTAATTTAACAGTTTGCTACAGTACAAACATTTACTGACTTGGTTGAAATGAAATGTTTACTACTTGAATTTGGGTTGGCGTAAATATTACAATGGAAAAAAGTGAGAGAGCCTGGATAGATTGATATCTTAAAAAGAAAACTGAATTAACACTGTGCTGCATTTCTTATTAATCATTGAAAGAGCCCATTTGCAAACTATGGAACCATAGGAAAGTCATAGAACACCACCAAGGAGAAGAAATAGAAATGTTTTTTTTTATTTATAATGTTATTATGGGTAACCTAATGCGGCTATGAGTAAGGCTATTTGTAGAAAACGCTAAAAAACAAGATCAGCTTTTAACAACAATGATAAGATATTTACAAGAAATTGTGTTTATATCGATCTGTTATGTACCTACATCATGAGTATTTCCAAAATCTTTGAGTTGAATCTTTTAAAGTCATCAGAAATTATGACTGTTTTTCGTTTTAAAATAACGCCTTTAATACTTAGCAATTGCTCGAATTTGAGCAACAGGGACACTAGTAGTGATTACTTTACAAACACAATACAGTAAGAGTTCATAGCAAATGTTTGGTTCGCCAATAGAATTATTTAGGTGTCCTTAAAACATTCCATCTTAAATTTGATCTAACATCAATCTTTTGCTAAAAAGCAAGTTTGATCAATTGGTTAATTTTTACATATTTTTATCATTGCGAATAAAATTATGTTAACTTCAAAATCACATTTGGTGTCAAATTAACAGACACGTTTAGGGGAACCACTACATTTTTGAGGTTATTTTTGTGATATTAATTTTCACTACTGTGCTCCCTTGTCTTCTTTAGTGTGAACTCTCAGTAAGAATGGACACAAGCCCAAGGTTTCAGACTGCAGAGGCCCCACAATTATAAGTTAAGGATAACATTATGTGTATGTTTCTACAAACTAGTCACACACCTCTGCAGCTGAGCCAAGTCCAAGCTTGTAGCATGCAGTTGACTATTGAGAATGTCAGCCTTTTGTTCACTCATAAGTAGCTCTTGTTGGTAAAACTGTGTGTCCTCCTTTAACCTGCGTATTTCACTCTCTAGCTTCTGTCTTTGCTGGGATTTCCGTTGACATCTAGAATAAAATTAAAATACATTTCATTAATTTTCAATTTTTTAATTCACTTTTGGCTTTTGGTGGTTGATCAACCACAAATGTATATAAAACTTAATGTGGACAACTTAAAATTAACAGCAACCTACTGGCCCTTAGTTAAAATTTCAAGTCCATTAAAACTAAAAAACTAAAAACACCAAGGTAAAAAATCACTCAATAATCCTTCCTGTATTATTGTATGGATCTGAGACATGGACACTAGCAAAACAGTGTGAAAAAAGCTCAATAGTTTTTGAAAATAAGATACTGAGAAGGATAAATGGAATGGTACAAGATGAATTAGGGTGGACAATCCAAAAGAACAGAGAACTAAGGGACAAATATCAATACCCAAGATATCGTTGCTAGAATAAAAAGCAGAAGACTAAGATGGGCAGGACCTGTAAGATTGTAGACCAGTATAACCCAGAAGGTAGGATCCCCCTCGACAGGCCAAGGCTTTGGTGGAAGAGCCAGGTGTTGAAGGATTTGCAGTATTGGGAACCACCCTCGAGGCAGTTGAAGATAGAGAGTAGTGGAGAGTCATCGTTGGCAAGGCCGAAAACCTTCTATGGTTTCAGTGGCCAAGGAGGTAAGGTATCTTAAAATAAGTTGTCTTTTCAGTTTGGCCTGGTTCAAAAATTGGCGTATTCGACAGAAATCAGTCTTTTACATAGGCACACTCTGTTGGTAGCCGATTCAACAAAGTTTATTTTTATGGAGTTTGTAGTTGTAGCCATAGTCTACTGTATACTGCACTTGTGGTCTATTGTTACTCTGAGTGAAGCAATTGATTAACTTGTAGATATAGATTGGTAAATAAATATTGAAATTTCAGGAACTCTTTAGAAAAATTGTATTCTCATATTGGGATTGAATTGCATTGATTTCTTTTCAAAAGACAAAATTAGTCCCCACTGTAAATTTTGGTGTGATCGCGAGTGAGGAAAATGCCTCTACAATGGTACAAGATCTTTATGATTTCGTAACTACTGTGGTAAACAATGATGAGGTTTCTGGGACCTCAGGAGATAACATCAGTGTCGCAACCAATTATTATATGAAAAATACACATTATAAATTGTATGATTACTGAAGCACGCTGCTTTTGTACAGGTTACAATGTCAGCCTTAAAAGTTTTGAGATTTAAAAAATTAAAGTTTCTCTTGTTGCATTGGAAGAAAAATCCTGCTCTGTTCCGTCCCGAAAATCGGAAAAAAACCCCTAAAATACAATCCCCTCCATCTCTTTTGTGAAACAAGTCCGGTGCAATTTGTTACCAACAGCTACTCACTTGTCCTCCAGTTTGTCGAGGGCTTCTCGCAAAACAGCATTCTCCTGGTGCAGCTCCTCACAGTTTGTCTCCGCAGACGACAGTTTCCTGGACAGTTTCTCCAGCTGATCACTCCCAACGGTCTGACTCTCAGCTACCAGCGTCTCCAGTCTCTTGCACTCCTGCTGCATCTGCTCAACCTCTACACGCTTCCTGTTGCGCTCCTGCGAGAGACGAGCGTCAACGTATAGTCAAGTACGGAAAAGGAGTTAAAAACGATAATTTCAACAATGAAAAAGATTTGTTTAATATTTACATATTGAAAATATTTTGAAACTATAAGGATTTTTTACTGCTACTAGATAATCAACAAAACACCTTTTCAAGGTTTCCTCTGGCTCACCGTATCAGTGCAATACCTGACTTGTACCAGTGTCCAGTACCTTTCTTAAACCTGTTACAATCACAGAATAAAAGGCAGCTGGCTTACATTAGATCACAGCAAGTGCTACTGCAATACCTGTCCCACAACCGCCAGTTAATTCTTTACTACTGCCAGCTGATCATCAGACTGTCTTCTAGTTCCTTTATCTATTTGTCAACCAGTATCTCTGCAATACCTGTTACTACCTGTACCAGTCCCTTCATCAAACCTGTTACAACCACAGTCAGTTCTACTACAATACCTGTTCCACAACCTCCAGTTGATGCTTGACTACTGCCAACTGTTCGTCAAATTGCTTTCTCAAGTTTGCCTCCTCGGACGCCACTCTCCGCCCTGCTTCATCCACCAGCTTATCCCACTCGGCTCTCAATTTCTTGGCATCTTCTGCAGCAAACAAATAAATAATTAGTCACGTACTGTATGTAACACTGCTGATTGGTAATAAGAGTTGTCTGATTTGCTCGATTTGTAAAAAATGAGGTACCGTAACTGTAACATATTATTAATGTGATTTGTACATATTTATGCCAATATTTTTATCTTCCCAAAAGAGACATCGGAACTCCGTTCCTCAGCATTACCCCGCAAATCAAGCACTCCTCTATCATTCTGGTTATCTCCGGGTCTGGGTGTTCACTAGGCTTCTATCTTCTTCTGTTCCTCCACATACTGCCACTGCACTCCACTTGCTTCCACATCTCGTCAATCCACCTTCTTCTCTAGGTTTTCTTCTGTTCATATGAAGCTCACTCATTGTTTGGGGATTCTATCATATTCTTCCATTATTCTTAGGTGGTTGAACTATCTCAATCTCGATTTTTCTACTCGTTCTCTCATACTTTCTAACTATTCCTCTTCTCAACTCTTCATTTCTAATTCTATGCGATCTTGTTTTCCCTTTAATACCTCTTACAAACTTCATTGCCCCCACCTGAACCCTACTCTATTCCTTCTCTGTTATATTAGAAACTTCTGCACCATAGGTAACTTTATAATAAGTTTGTTCATTATTTATGGTATATAATAAGTTGTATTTATGGTAACCTTTGCAGTCTTTGGTATATCTTTATCCCAGACTAGATGTCCAACACTTTGATTGATATTTCTGATGTATATAGAGTCTGAAAATATGTATACAATACGGCTTGGCTGGCAAAATGTAATAGAGCAGATAACAACATGAATCTCTTAATATAAAGTTCAGAAAACCATTCTTGATTTTTTTAAAGTAGATTTTGTATATACAGTTGTAGATTTTAAGATAGCCTAACAGAAAATCAAACATAACCCACGAGAATTAAAATAACTTAAACACATGAATAGACATTGTGTTTAGATTCCTCCAATTGAGTAACTGAAAAAATAGGTTACCGGTAACCAAAATTTATTTCAGTTAATTGGGGGTTCATTGTATTACTAGCCCGTGATAGCATCGATAATCACCCAAATTGAATGTAATGTTACTAGGATTACCCCAATCAGTATTACCTGTAGCTGCTTTTTCTCTGGCTACAGCTTCTTCTGTGTTCCGATTAGCTTCCTCGACGAGAGTCAGGGCATCTGCGACCCTAACAAACAATTTGAGCTTAGCTTTTACTGAACACAAAATAATTTATATTTTACAGCATGTAGCATGTACACATTATGCTCTATGGCAGAGTTTCCCAACAGTATTTACTGGCGTAAGCCTACCACTTCACAAGACAAAATTATTTTGCGTACCACTTGGTAATGTGGAGATAACCATTGATTATAAACAGGTTACAAAATGAGGGAAAACATCTTCTTGATCTTAGGAAGGGATTACATTTAATTGGGTATTTTTATGGGACAAAATTTATTCTCTCAGGGATTTTTCCACAGTCACAAGTGATGATGATGTTTCCTTGATCTTTAGAGACGTCCACGATTTCACCGCTATTGCAGGAAAATATTATGCGGTCTCTGCGATCGAGGGAGACCATTACGTCCACACAATAAATATATGAAACGCAATATACAGTAAGTGAAATTCAATACAATTAAAATACAAGACATTGATGAGAAGGCTGAGATTGAAGATTAGAGAAGCCAATTTGAGAATGTTTTGTGTAAGAGTCATTAGGAGAGGTCTTGATGGATTCTGAATTCGGACCTAGATTCCCCAAAAAGGTTATTTATTTTCAAAACTGTTGAATACCTGAGCAGCAAGTGCAAGAGTTTTAATTTCGCTCATATTCGTTGAGTGTTATTGATTCTACTTAGCATTTACGACTCAGCCGAATTATGTAAGCCACCAAAATAATCTTGTACTTGTTCTAACGTGTTGTTGAAAAAACACAGTTGTCGATGAGCATTTTGTTAATGATGATGCATCGGTCCAAACAATCTAGACAAATACTCTTCTTAAGACCACACAACTTACCACCAGTGGCCTATGCGTACCACAGGCTGGGAAATACTGGTCCATGGTAAACATATTCAGTTTATGTTATGTTATTAGTTACACCTTGGAATGTTGATTGTTAATAATGGCAACCCTGTAAACAATAGTACACCAGAGTCCTACTTAACTGTATATAAATTAACCATAAAGCTATGAGTTCTGAAATACTAACCAGAATGATCGGGCAACAGGGAAACCAGGAATCTTATGTAAGTTTTAATGAACAAGAAAAAACTCATTAAATTCATTAGATTAGGAAGTTTTTAATAATTGTCCATATAGCCGATAGCCAAGCTTTCATTCATCAACAACATAATTGTATCTCCTTTTATGTCGCAAAGTAGTATAAAAAGTGATTGAGGAAGATGATCATGGACCACAGGTGTTGCAGCAATCGCGGTAGACAGTCTTGGATATTTCAGCTATTGCAGGAAATTATCACAGTGTTTGCTAGAGAAATACAGGGTGATTTGTACTCAGTGTGACAAAATTTTTTTGGTGTAAGTACAAAGTAAATGAAGTGTGATGATGCATATAAAATGTTCCAAGTCTAAAAATTAGCTTCCCAAAAAATTATTTTATGTTTTTCAAAAATAACCATGCTTTTAAACTTAATACATAGATTTTTCAATTACCTGTATATGGATTTGAGTAGATAATGTAATTTTCGTGTTCTACATTAAATTTTGAACAAGAATAATAGAAAATGACGGAGGATCAGTTGTAAAAACTCCATTGTAAATAGATTCAAAGATAAAAATTAAGATGTTTGATAAAAATAGTAAAAACAATGGTCTATTGCATTTTTCACACCCTGTATACAAGAAAGTGTCGGAATATGTTAAAAACTGCGCCATTTTATAAGCTTTCCAACGATATGCTACACTATTGAGGTTTATGTCTGCTTATGTACGCGTTAATGGTTTGAAGACTACAAAGCATGGTGTCTTTAACATTTAAAACATAGAAAGTCGGCATGTATTAAGCAAAAGATGTGTTTTAAATTCAACATGAACAGTAAAAACAGTAAAAAGTTCCCTGTTTTCTGGTATTCAAACCACTAAAACAAACAAAAAAATATCTAAACATCAATAATGTAGCATATGTTTGGAAAGCTTATAAAATGGCACAGTTTTTAACATATTCCGACACTTTCTTATATACAGGGTGTGAAAAATACAATAGACCATGGTTTTTAAAATTTTTATCAAATATCTTAATTTTTATCTTTGAATCTATTTACAATGGAGTTTTTACAACTGATCCTCCGTCATTTTCCATTATTCTTGTTCAAAATTTAATGTAGAACACGAAAATGACATTATCTACTCAAATCCATATACAGGTAATTGAGAAATCGCTGTATTAAGTTTAAAAGCATGGTTATTTTTGAAAAACATAAAATAATTTTTTGGGACGCTAATTTTGAGACTTGGAACATTTGATATGCATCATCACACTTCATTTACTTTGTACTTACACCAAAAAAATTTTGTCACACTGAGTACAAATCACCCTGTATATGACAATATGCAGATGCACTTTTACAGCATTTTGGATCAATCAGAACAATTTGGTAATCTGTACGCAATTCGGTTTGCATTAGCAAAACTGAGTGGTTCAGTTTTACTTACGTTTTGCGGTCGACAGCAATTTTCCGCAGCAGATCTTGCTTGTGTTCGTGACATTGCTCCAGCGCCATCTGTAGCTCTTTTCCGTTCCGCTGAGAATCCTCCAACTTCTGTCTCAAACTGGACTCTGCTTTTTCATACTCTCGCACTTGCGCATACTTCACTTTATCTGCAAAAAAAAATATAGTAGTTTACTTCCGCCCAAATTTTGAAAACCTATAGGCCTGAAAAAAAATATTTACATTTGTGATCAAACTAACAAAAATTATCCAAAGAACGATTTTTTGTTTTTCTATTTAATGAGGTTAGGTTAAAGGGTATGATGAAGTGAAATCTGCATGAAAATATTAGATTACTTAACTTTTTGAGTATTTTGATCTGAATATAGTTAAGCCGTATTAAAGAGTACATGGAAAAAACAGTATGGATGAAAACATTACATTACAAATAAAAAAGTAAGTTCCATTAAATTACATCATTAAATTGGCTTTATTATTCTCATCTCAAAATACCTCAAGTGAAGGGAACATGTGGTTAAATTCATAATTATTATGCATGTGAGTTGCTGCAGCCTTCTGCATTTTAAAATTAAAGCAATGGCAATCCTAACATTGACTTTAACCTCCAGGGGATTCCTATTTATTTTGTGGTATCTATTTGCGTAAGTTATTTTTATGTACAGTTATTCTATCGCTGATATTGTATTTATTTTGTCTATTTTTTTTAATAACCATAAAGATTTTAGTATTTTCACATAGTTAGTTTGTTCATTATTAAATATATCTGTTTACACAAACAGAACTAGAACCAAAATCATACCAATAAACGTTTCTGAAGCCAAATTTCACCATACAGGTCTTCAAAGTGTAAATAACTGTTTACTACTACAATTTTTACCAGTTTGATAAGCACGATCCAATTCAATAAAACTTGCTTCCAAAGCCAGGAATTTGGACTTCCACAATTGCTCCTGTTCAGTTGATTCTCTCAAAGATCTTTTCAGAGCGCAGTTTTTCTCATTGGCCGCATTCATCTGTAAATTGACTTCCTTCATCTGGTCTTCCAAAAACTTGCATTTACCATTCAACTGATCGTTTTCTGACTTTAGTACGCTTTGTTTCTGTTCCAATATATGAATAGCTTCCGTGTAATCTTTTTGTACCTATACAGAGAAAAAAGGTAAATCCTAGTTAAAAACTTGTTTTAAATACAAACATACCAGCATTATCTAGCAGAATTTAGCACTGGTATTAGAGAAATACCGGTGAAACAATGAGACTAGTAAAGGAAGATTCGGAGGACAAAGAGAATTGGCTACAAAGTGCTAGCGAGGCCAAGTAGCAGCTTGGGTACAAGTGGCCATGGCAGCAAGCAGTAAGTAAATTAAGTATAAGCAAGCTTAAATTCAAATTCGAAAAGAATCTTTATTTTTTTGTAGCATAGAATAACAAACGGCTTCAGTAAGTCACATGTTATTTTTAGAGAGTGTGCTTAGTACTTTTGAATAATTTTTACTTACATCATTCAATTTACTCTGCAGCGACGTTACCTTTTTCCCAGTTTGGAATTCGTTTAATGTTTCTTTTAGAGCATCCACTTCTAAAATACTTGATTTCCACAGCTTTTCTACTGTATCTTTCTCCTGTTAACAATATATTACTTTTATTTACATGTATGAATAGGAACAAAATTGTAGTGGGAATAGATTATATAAGTATATGAACTAAAAACCTTAGTGCTTTTGAAAAACGACTAAAGAGACATCTCAAACTAGTAGCATGATGCACAATCATAGGAGCGTGCGCCTTGCTGCCGACTTAGCCACAATCTCATCTTGTATTCATCACTTGCGATAAAACTTTTAATAAACAGTTAAAATGTGTTTAAATGTCTTAACCCAATGTGAAAAAAAACGCTTTACCAGAGCCTAATCTGGGCTTCGTACTTAATGAAAATACTTATTAACGAGCCACCTGATTTTCCAAATGATCTGGTCACATTCATAATTGAATGTGAGTTCATAATTGAGTAAACTAAGAAGTAATTAAGTAAACTAATAATTAGGGCCTATTGTACAACATGCCACAATTACGTGGGGGCTAACGTCTTCAGATTAGGCTATATTTTATTTTACGCTTCTCTTGCGAACAGTGAAAAACCAAAATATAGGCTGGTAAAAGAATAATGCAAAGATAAACCGCAGCGACTAATCCAAACCAGTGACCATTAATACTTTATTCTGATAGCGACCATATGAATGTAGCATTTTAAGCCAAGTATGAATGGAGTGAAGGATGAGTGGCGCGATCTTGTAGTCTTGTTAGTGACATGTTTAAGTTACATTGAATTATACAACACATATTCCACATTGTTCATAAGAGTCGTAAGTAGGGCTACTACCCTTGAAAAACCGTTGGCATCTTCAGGTATAGTTTCTTTGTAAGGGAAGGTTTTGAGTTTGTATGAGCTAATTCTCCAAAGTGAGTGAACCTCTGCCATTGTTCCTTACGTTGTAATCTACGACTCATCTCTTGCACTTTTCACCTTCGCCTCTCTACTACAAAATGACTCACCGCCAATGCTGATTCCAGCTGTTGTTGAAGGTTGTCAATAGCCTCCGATGATTGTAGGGCTGACAGGTCAGTTTTTTCTAAAGCAGTTTCCGTGGCCATTTTCAATCTCCGGTAAAGATCATGGTTCTCGTTCATCAAACGACTCATCTCCATCCTCAGATCAGCGTGATCTTTCTGTATTCACAGAACAGAACTAGGTTAAATTTATACTCGGAATTACATACGGCAATATATCAAAGATTAATGTTAATGCTGTAAACGTGACAAAAAATTACAAAAATATGGCTCTACTGTACATAGCTTGCAGTTTTTATATTAGGTTAGTCTTTTTTGTAGACATTAAGGCTAGTCCTACATTGGAAACGGATTGGTCTGATTATCCAATCCAGCACTCCTACCTACACTGCTAGTTTCAGTCTCTAGATTCAGTGAGAAATCTCTATAAAGAATACTTGAAAGGCTCTATAAGTGTTTTGTCACAGAAAGAAATAGTGTTCAATGTGAATAAATAAATCTTGTTTGTCATCCCAAGATGTTTCTATATAAAGAATTACAATTTAGGCTACTTGTATTTACTTAAGGTCAGTGGTGCATTTATTCGTACATTTTTCAATCTGTGAATGCTTTCAAGCACCATTGTTGCGGAAAAATGTGAGTCACTTTACCAACTTCTTAGGTTCGAAAAAGCAGATTACCACCAAGAATAGTTCTCAAGAGGCTCCACTACACCACTGTTTAAAGTCAACCTTAACTTTCTTCATGCAAAATGGTAAATTTAATAATTTTATTTTACTTATGAAGTATAATATAAAAATAAAAATTAAACTATGAATTATGAACCTAAAAAAATATACATTGGAAATATCTTGGTTTTCATCAAAAATACTACCATTACAAATCTTTTTTATAATTTTAATTAATAGGCTACTTGTTTTTTCGAACATTTAATCATACCTTACACATTTCTAACTGCTCTTCAATGACTTTTGTGTGTATTTCATATTCTTTCAGAACATTTTTCAAATCCCTGAAAACAAAAATATAAATCATATAGTTGATTAATTTATTGACGTATAGTTTTTTGTAAAATATGAGACCTACCAATTACCAATAACCTATCTTGTAAAAAATTGAATAAATAATCATAAACAGTGTACAGCTCAGGCGTAAATTGTCAAGATGGATCCTTTGGGAGTTGTTCCTCAAGTCATGCATTTTACTACTTTTCACCTCTAATCAAGCTGCGTTTACACCGGAGTCTTTGACACATGTCAGAGACTTTAAAAAATCTTCAAAAATGTCTTGTGACTTTGTGTCAGAGACACTTTTCAGCTACAGAAATAATGTGTCACAGACACGATTTTAGGTTTCCCATCGAGAGTCGGTGAGATCAAAGGACTGTCGCAGTATACGTAATCACCACGGTTACTTTTGGTTACTTTTGTCTGCGACAAAATCCTTCTATCTCACACGCCAAGTACCACTCGTCAGTCAGTAGCCTACAGCTTGTAGGAGCTACGAGAGTTTGAGGTTAGGTTAAAAGTGCTTGGCGTTGTTTGTGTGTACCTTAGTTTTGTTCATTATAGAGTGAAGTGAATAGTTGTGATGGAAGAGGACAACACGGCGAGTATTGAGTGGAATTAGGATCAACTTGTACAATTGGTTGAACTGTACGTTACGTACAGTGTATCAATTAATAAAAAAATAAATAATGCACACTGCAGCAAGGACCAAGTCATCCTCTCCTACCATTGTCACAACTACCGAGCACGAAACTAAACAAAAAACACTCAGTACTGGTGATGTAGTGCCGGATGTGAGATACAATATGTCACTGAATAAACAAAAGTATTATCCGTCAGTGACTTGGACTTCGGTGTAAACACAGTTTTAGTGTGTGAAACGACCTTAAACTTGTATAGGTCTTTGAGAATTTGGATTATTATGGTGAAAATATGATAAATATATTCACTACGGTACATAAATCAATAAAATAATCCCTCATTGGGGTTTTGAAAAATCAGAAGGGCAACTTACTCGACTGACTCAATAGACAACTCCCCTCTCTCCATTTTGGTCAAAACCAATTGGTGCACCAATCCCATGTATTGACTCATAGATGATACTTGGGTTCCTAGAGTAAACACAACATTGTGGTTATTACAAGGCTAACAAATGTGTTGAAACATTAAAGTTGCTTTAGTTTTTGGTCATGAAATTTACATCTATATATATAATTCTGTAAGACCAAATTTTTACCAGAAAATTGTGGACGTCTGGTAAGTCGCAGAAAAGTGGGAGAGGTCTTAAATTAAAGGTCTTGACCCCAGGGACTCGGGAAAAATAGCAGAATTCCCATAAAGTTACCAGAAAACGAGATATAACGTAAAATATCCACCATAAGAAATGCATGGGGACTGAAAAACGTCTGCATTCTATCAGCTGTTACTTATTTATTTGCAATGTTTACATTTTTTCCGAAAGTCAATGTTGGTAAATAATGTTTCAAAATGAATTGTGTTTAATTTTTTGTTTTCCGTTTTTATAATGAGTGACGTAACTAGACAGGGTAGGGGAAGACCTGCAAGACGTGGAAGAGTGTCCAGGAATTCAACAGACTTAAGAAATTCAAAAGAGAACGTCATGTAGGGCCTAACTGTGAAAGAAATCCAGCTGTTTTACAACATGTCTTTAGAAGAACGCTGGAAAATGAATTGAGTTGTTTCTCACAATCTAGGTCCTATTAAAGCGCTTGCATGCTTTGTGGTGCATTTCACTTTGCAGAGGAGGCCACAAATGGACATTTCAACGCATGTTGCCACAATGGACATGCCACAACCACAAGTAAATGACGAACTAACTGTTTTTACATGATTCAAACTTCATAAAAAACATAAGGCAATACAACAGTGCAATGGCTATTGCGCCGCTTTCCGCTACACAAAAAGAGATTCCGAGAAATGGGCCCTACTGTCTTAAAATTCAGGGACAAATGCATACATATATTTCTGACTTACTACCGCAAAATGGGGAGTTGCCTTCATAATAATTAATAATGATTTTAACCTACATTTGGTTCTCAAAATGGAAACTATAATAGAATTCGTAAGATTACAAAACAAATAATCAGTTTTAAACTAGAAAAGATGTGCAATGTTTGGCTGTATGATTTCATCTATGATTCGTCGTTCTCCGGGCTCAGGCCAAACCGTGTGCACGATTCCATTCGTAAATATGTTGTGTTATTGATTTAATCATTACTTTACAATTGTATTTCATTGACACATCAGAAGCAACTAATATATGACTCCAACGGTCCAACGGAAGGAAAACCAAGGTATAAAACGAGAAACACTGTTAATTTTAAGTAGGTAACATAAAACATAACATAACATATTGATAATTTTAAAAACATATTTCAAATATTTGTCTTTTTATATATGTTTTTTTTTTATTGTAGTCTAAATTAGGGGCTATGGCCCCTACAGGCCACTAGTAAATAAATTAAATCTGCATTAGATATTTAGATTAGATAAAATGTCTTCTGATTCTGAGAAGTTCAAGTTTTTTTTATGCACAATTTTATTAATGTTGAGGTTTTACAACCCTTGCTTTCAAACTCAAAGTTGAGGGTTGTATTATTGGTTGTTGCAATCGTCAAGAAAGTTTGACTTTTGGGTACCTAATTTATATTTGGTTATCGATCAAATCAATAGTTTTATTATTCTATAGTCCAATGGGGACAGATCAAAGTTTCACCAAAGAAACAGCTGAGGTTTAGTTAGGTTACAGTTCCACAGACTACCTACGATATATTTACGGAGATTAAATAAATATTAGTTCATCAATTAAAATAGTAAATTTAATTCAATCACTAAAGATATTGAATGTAAAAATATTTATTGATTTCCTGTTATGGGGCTTTTCGAGTAGAGTACCGTCCGCCACTATCTTACAGCTAGTGTGTTGCGGAATTTAAGCACAGAATAAAAAGAACTATTTAATGTATACCGTCTACTCTACTCTTTAATATGTGGTTTAACTTACATAGTTACGTTAGAGTTTAGTCTATGAAATAAATCAACTCAAAAAAGAGCTTAAGTTACAGAATCTAATTTACGTTTGTAAATTGATCTCTTTGACAAGTTACTTACTAGTTATAAAACATTAATTAAAATGTTACCATTTGTTACTATGTTAGGTAGGCCTATCATAATCTAAACTGAGTAGAATTATTGCTTGAACTAACTATCTTAACCTTTAACCTAGGCCTAACTGCCGCAACACAGTGTGAAAAAAGTCTTTTTGAAAAACAAACAATCAATATTTATATCGCGTGAAAACTATATCTATTAGATAAATATAAATATTGAACTAGCCTAACTTAATAAGTTATTTCATATTAAGTTAGGCCTATAATAATATATCGTAGGTTCTCCAAGCAAATGTACCCAAGGCTGATCTTAGTCCGAAACACTAACTAAATGATCTCAATATTAGGTACTACAATCACCCTTAATTAATTCATATTCACCTGTCCACTGTCAAGTAATGAACAAACAGAATTCAACTTTGACTGGATAACCTACACATAAGTGGGCCTAAGTTAATTAGTTAATGGTAATATATACTTAGTTGGCAATGATATTTAAAATACAATTTATTAATTTTAGGATACTTACTTTAGAAGTAGCCTAAAACTGATGCAGAGACTGATCAAATAAATCAATTGATTTAGTCCTAACTTGTGTGGACATAGGCCTAAGTTATGAGTTAAAGGACTAAATTTGGAAATTTAAATTTTTAAGTAGGCCTAAATAAAAAATGGTTAGTAGCAAATCATAATGGGTCATCTTACACAATAAAAATCAAACAAATTTTTAAATAATAAAACATTCTTTCAAAACAAATTCAACCACAAGACAAACATTAGATATTGAACACTTTGACAGCTCCAATTTGAACAAAAACAATAAACAAAACAAAAAAACAAACAAAGAGGAGGAAAGAACCAACGACCAACAACCTACGGATTACGGAATAACATTTCCAAATAATAACAACAATATGAGCATTGATTATATACATACACAATGACATGTACTTACTTAATAAAAAAATTGGTGAGGCTCATTTATCTGACTTTAAACAAAACCGTTGACTATTGATTGACCTATGGTCAATGATAAAACTTAGTTCATACATTACAACAATATATATAAATTCACAACTCTAAGCGTAAAGATATTTCAAGTAAACTATTAATAAAGCTACAGTAATTATTCTAAGCAATCATATTTCCGAGCAACATCAAAACTGAACTGAGTGCTGACTAAATAAATACTTCCGAGGGGAAGAAGCTGTAATCCTCGGAATTACAGCCGTTGTCCGTTCACACACACATCTAGGCTGGCCGATGTATGTTGGCGTTTGGATGTTTACAATTGATTGTTATTTTGCCCACATTAATACTATTATAAATGAATGGATGGACATTCCTTAACTCCGAGGCCTTTTCCCAGAAATCACCATCAAGATGCTACATCAACCCTCAACAACTCACCATCACTTAATGTTTTATCTAAGGTTATGTTTTATCTAAGGCTTAGGTCAGATGCGAGCCCCCCACCCGCGGGGTAGCGGATTTTTATCCTCCGAAATTTTACCCCCTGGGCAAAAGTACGGCCGGGATTTTTACCCCCAGAATTGTACCCCCTGGCTAAATAAAGAAATAAGTGAGATGGTTATTTGATTATTTGATTATATGATTTGCTTATATGATTTTCTTCTTTCAGTTTTAATTTAATAGTTAATATTCTCAATAATCTCTATATCTGGCCAGGGTATAACAATTCTGTTGAGTAAAAATCCGGGGGTAAAATTTTGGGAGGTAAAAATCCGAGGGCAAAATTCCGGGGTGAAAATCCGGGCCGTACATCTATTACAGTTGCCTAAGCCAGGCCACACGTTTTTTTAGTGTGGCCTTGCCTAAAAAATAGATAACACATATGTTTTATCTATGCCTAAACGCTATAGTTATATGGACAGGGGGTAAAATTCCGGTTTTTATTGCTAATCTAATTTATCATGCTCTGTCTATTTTCATTAGACTTCCTAATCCGCGAGGGTAAAATTTCGCCCGGAAACAAGCTTTAGAGGGCTCAGGTTACTACGTCATAGTGACGTCAACTTTGCCCAGGGGGTAAAATTCCAGCACCCCCATGTAGCTGGTACCTTTTGTCGCTCGATTGCGTGCAGCTAGCGACAAGGTATACCACCACTGCCACCTCGACAACCCGTCTTTCAACCCGCAATCATTCCCGATGTCGTGAATAAACCTGCTCTCTGCCGGCAAGGGACAACTTCAACAAGGTGCCACCATTACCAAATTATAACTAGACCAACTTCTTAGTCACGATCACGATCTCCGTGAAAGTGATAACTTCGAGTAATTGTTTTCCGATTTGGATACATTATTTAGCTTGAAGGTGTAAACACAATAAACTTGAATGACTTCGCCGGACCATCCGATCGGCTACGGAGACTATCTAAAAATTGTAAATTTAAAATTCCCATAACTGTTGTAATTAGCTTGTTAAGGATATAGTACCAGGAGACCGAGCTTTGCTCGGATTGAATTAAACATTAAATTGGTTAGATAAGTTATTTTGCTATATATTAATTATATTTATTATACGTTTGTCAATGTGAACAAAGTTTAGATGATACAAAACCCCCTTTTTATTTTAATACACCTTTACAAATACATAGATTGCTATACAAATTACCTGTTATATTACCTGTTTTATTAACTTAAGCTACAAAGGTATTGACGATAACATAGGTACTCAAAAGGGCTGAAAAGGTGAAAACTGGATTTTCCCCAGTCTTTGTGACCAACTCCAATCGAATTTTCGTGGCCTAATACCCCATTATAACCAAAATATTAAAATTCCTCAGAAATAAAAATAAAAACATATAAAAAGGCGTGTCCGTACACAGGCAATAGGGAGGATTTTGATAAACAGGCAAATTTATTTATTGTATACTAAGCTATATTTAATCAATTTATTTATCTAGTTATTGCAAAGGGCGATATACCAATACAAAAATATTAAAAATATGATATAACGTTGATTACACAATACAGTGTCCAATTTCAAAGTTTGGCTGATTTAAACCGTATTGATTTATCAACTTAAAAATTACTACATCTAACAAACAATTAAATTTTCAAATTGATGTTCAATGAAGGTAAGGTCACGTAACGTTTAATTTTTCAAAAAGCAATAACGGATTTAAAATATCAGACTTCAAAAAAAGGAAATACCATTGCTTGACAATAACAACAATATAATAACAGCATGCAACAATATAATAAAAAAAAAACAATGACCATGAATAAACGACAGAATTTACTTCTCTCTTCTTAAAACTTTCGATGGTTCAACCAAAAAAGTCCAAGTCAGCACAAACCTCATTCCCGACTCTCGTAATCCTTGGTATTGTGATCTGATAACTATAGTTCGTTCTCGTTGGTATGAAGTGATTGCAGAACAGCTGGTGTCAGCAAGCGTGACGGGGGGACGTTGCAGTCCAATAATTGATGGAGGATCTCAGGACAGTCAATCTGGTTGATTACTATCTTGAAAAGGAATAGCAGGTCAAGTAGCATTATTTACCTATTTATTAACTAAAGTTATTTAAAAATATTTAATTTAATCCAATCAGGTAAATTGATATACTTAGTCTGCAGGTTTGCTGTGGCGGGGGTATTTATATTTTACATACAACAGTGTAACAGTATTTTAGTATAGATAAATATGTTTTATCTATGATAAAACATACTCCTCAGTCAACGGTGGTCTTAAATGCCTTTGAGACGGAAGTTAGCAGACGGGAAAGAGGAAGTAAAACTTCGATTTTGCTCTCATTTCGAGTGAGAGTGAGTCATTCCGAATTCTGATTTCTGATTAGTGTTTACTTCTTTCTTCATAGACAAAAAGATAACCATTTGGAGGGAATTGTTTTGCCTTTTTTCTCTCTTTATCCTCTGCAGCTCTAGCAAGTGGATGGTTGCACATTTGCACCTCAGCATAGCCTAACAGCAGCCAGCAACACTGAAATTATTGGCAACTTGTAGGTAAATGATACTTTATTTTGTTAGTTTGCTTTATTTTCATTAATTGAAAACTTTGTGAGGAGCCTTATTTTGTATAATTAAGGTTGTCACTTCAGATTATTTTTAATTTTATCTATTTTATGGCTAAGTTATTGCACCCACCCACAGGCTGACAACATAGGTAAAAGAAGAACCCTGTTTTATTTGGAAAGCTTTTTTGATTTAATCTAGGGCAAGCTTAGGATATGGATTAACATTCATTTTAATTACTATAATCACCATTAAGTAATGTGTAAAGTAATTTCTGGACTATAGGCTAAGTTAGGCCTAAGTTATCTAGGCACATTTCAGCTTTTATGCTACCTATATGTTTGAAGGCCTTCTAGGGGGTATTTAGCTTTGTTACTTACTCAAGTTTATTGTTTTATTATTTTTATAACTTAGTCTAACAGCTGCTAGTCTTATCATATTCTTTTCATTGCATGGCCCTTCTTTCAAAATATAAGTTAGGTAGACTTAACTTAGCCTATCCCTAGAATGACAAATGTACGCAGGCCATAAGACAGAGTTAAATTGTGACGAATAACTGAACTTAACGGCTGCACTTTACTTGACGTCCTACACTCATTCGATTGTTTTATCGATTCGATATTTTCAATCGATTGTTTCATTTGATATATCGTTTGGTTAGTTAGGTAAGGTTAACCAAACCTAACTAACCAAACGATATATCGAATGAAGCAATCGATATATCGATCGATATTTTCATTCGAATGAGTGTTGGACGTGAAGTAAAGTGCAGCCAACTTAACTTATGTACTTTAAACTTATGTTGATAAAAATTACAACTTTTTTCACCAAGTAGCCTCCAACTAGCTTCTCAACCTCGGTGTTAGCGCTGGATGTCGACTACTCTACTTTTAGTTCAACTACAATGATAGTACAGTATTATGTTTTTTTTCCTCCAGCATCCAATATTACAAATCATAGCTCAATAAGGTCATAAGGTCAATTTGGGGAGCAAGCTAGTAGTGGCACAGTGTGGAACTTCGGTCCCCGAGGTCCTGGGCTCAAATCGTGTTAATAACCAATGGATGCGTAGGCCTCCCTTTTGTGAAGTGACATCTCTTTTGTTATTAACTTACTAGGCCTAGGCAAACTGGCAAACTTAAGGGATTTAACCCTCCAAGTGTCCACAGTAGGCCTAAAGGTTTTAACGTTGGCCCATTTTTGCGCAATCACAGGATTTTAGTAAAATGTACAACTTATCTTAGAAACTTAAAACACTTTTAAGTATAGGTTACTGTTTTATAGGTATAAGCATTGACTATATATACATACTGAAGACAAACCACGCTTATAGGCCGGTAGTAGTGTGAGCCAGGTCTCGGGAGCAAGTATGTGATGTAAGCTGCCGGTAGGCGCGCGATAGTAGGATTTTTTTTCGATCTGCGCTCTCTCTCCCACATTCCCCCCTCGCCCCGCGGCCTGCTCTGCATCGCTCTCGCTCGCACATTCCTTCTCGTTCTCTCTCTCTCTCTCTTTGTCTCGCTTCCCCTTGTTTGCACCCTTTATTTGCATTTCAGTTCCCGGTTAAATACAATATGTGCGGTAAATAATTGTATAACAAACTCATAAAATAGTATATTTTGTACCTAGGGCCGAAAACCATTTCAGTCCGTGTGTAACAATTCAATATTTTCACTAATATTTTTTTAATAGAATAATTTAATTTCCACCATATGTTTTTCATTTTATCTAAATGTCAATCCATTTTCAAA